CAGAAGGAATGACAGGTCACTGAGTGTTTCTGTTATTAGATAGCAAGCATGGTCCATCATTCAGCTCACACCACCCTCCATCTAACCCTTGGAGGGGTGCTAATGTTCTTTTTCTCTACCAATGAGGACAGTGGAGCCACAGACCACAGGGCTGGGAATCTACCCAGCTCTATTCTCTCTAAGCTGCAAGTTCTTGCCACCATCTTTCTTGGGTCTGGTAGGAAGGAGCCAGTGCCAATGGACCTGCAGGTAAATTGAGATATCAGTTGGTTTGGGTTATTTTCTTATCCCTGCACTCAGATTTCTATTGTTCTAATACCTTTCTAATCCTAACTAGTTTGATCTTCACCCAGACACTCACAGGAGAAACCATTTCCCAGGGCACAGGAGACAAGCAAGCCAAGAGTCAGAGGGTCCGGGATCTTTAGTGGGAACCGACCGTGGTGGGATTTTGAAGTCATGGATTGACATATAATTAATTTAGATGAGCATTGAAATGTGAAAAGAAAGCCTGGGAATAGATTCCTGACACGCTGAAATGTAGAAGGATAACTTCATTCTCAGAAAAGGTGAGAGAAACCCCAACACTCCAATAAAATCATAAAGCTGATGGGGTCAGGATCATGGTCCACACTTGCCAGAACTAAGCTAAGAAAGGCTTCACCAGAAGAAGCTTGTTGCTTTCACTCTCAAACTAGAGGGAGAAGACTGTGGAGCTACACACTGTGGCTGCCGGGGTTGGTGTTCATTTCTGTCCTCTCCCCTATGCAGGAGGCTCTCCCAAGAGCGTTTCCTCGCTCCATCTTCTCTTAGATTTCCCTATTTCTTCTGCAGTTGTGGTGGTGATGTTCTGGGAGGTGTTTTGTTTTTCACACAATCGTGTGGACTGTGGGTTATTTTCCTAATACACAGTAGTGCTAAGAGCATGGATTGCTCTGTATAGATCCATGGTTTGGATTAATAAGAGAATAAGCCTGTGTTTCATGGAATGTAGATATATGGCCTATGATCTGAAATTGACACCTGTGAGCAAAGCCACCTTCTGAGGAGGGCAACTCTGTGACAGACTTTACGCCACACCTCGTGATAATGTGTTAGGTTACCTGTCATGAGATCTGCATCCGCTCAGGTAAGGGAAAGTATTACCTGAGAAATACTTCCCACCCCTGCTGTGATGGTCAGCTCTACCCACATGCAGGGTCAGGAAGACCAGACAAGGGAAGGCTCCTGTGAAGGAAGTCCTTTCATTGGCCCCCTGGGAACTCAGTCTGGCACAGGTCCCAAGGGAGACCCGGAGGCTGTCTGGAAAGCAAGGACCTAGAGTCACCCAGCTCCCCAGTGCTCGTCTCTCCTCAGAACCCAGCATCACCCCCTGCCTACATTCCTCCTAGTGTTCCCCCAGCTGTCCTTTCTCTCCTGTGACCCCATGTATGGAGGGATAACACAGGGATTTTGAAATCAGTGCCACAAGTCGTTAAAAGATGGTGGTTCAAGCCATTTAAACACCATGATAAGCAGCTGTTCATTCACTTCTCTGCACTTGATCATCTCAGGCTATTCGAAGAAGAAAGGGTAGATCACATATTAGAGTTTCATAATACACACACAGCCTGTGTCTCTGATAGTGGGAGAATCAAAACCATCAGAAGAGGAAGTGAAGTGTTTAGACTTTAAACATCAGAGTAGAAAACTGAAATAAACCCATTACATCAGCCTATACCAGCTTAAATAACAGAAATGTATTCCTGACAAGCTCCCATCCCTTCCTTTCAATTTATTACATTGATTAACATCCCAAGCCATTAATTCCATCTGTGTTTTGTTTCCTTCCTTTCTTCGTGCTGTCACACAGCACTCTGGGGATATGACATCGTTCGTTTTGAAAATCACTGATTTCCAAGGAAAGATTTGGAAAGTATGGGGGGGGGGAATTAACTCTTTGAACTGTATTCATTTAAGACTCAAAGGAACATCTAGGGTAGGCTGTGCATTAATGTGGCTTTAAATAATGGTAATTCTTTATGATTCAATAAAATGTTAAGGTTTCACATTTCAGAAACTAGCAACCAAGGGCATTTTAAATGTAAATGTAAGTAATTGAATCCATCTAGAATGTTGAGAAGGATTATTTCATGCCATTACTTCTCATATCCTGCACAAATATTTAGTAGTAAAATACCATACTTTACTCTATCAAAAGGTCACAGTTATCGTAAAACACTGATTCTGCACATTGTCTCTGTAGCTGGCAGAACCAACTCAAGATGACCTGAGTCTGTAGCAAGAAACAGAATCAGGTGGTACAATTCACCTTTCCCAAGGATTCAAGGTCACCTACAGTTGTAATAGATGGGTCTGGAGCCCATGGACCCATGCAATGGAGGGCTGTCCACCCACAGCTTCTTTGTATTTCAAAGATTGTCTTGATTTTAATGCTTTTTCTTAATTGAAGATAAGCCAGCTATTAAAATCAGAGCCATGTCTTATGTGGCTTTGGCATTTCAGGGTCCATTCACAAAGACCTTTGTGTGCCTACTCGCTCTTATTTGATGTTTGTAGCAATTCTATGCTGTTCTCTTCCCTCATTGTACAAGTGAAGTTCAGGAAAGTCCAATGTGTTTAACAAACTGTAAGATATAGGACTGACAGAACGTGCATTTGAAATCTGTCTGAATTTGTGATTATAAATGTATTTGTGTCTTCCAAATACTGTCCTTTTAAATATTAGCACAGCATTCAAGTAAGTTCTCTCTCGGGGATGGAAAGTATACATAGGGAAATTAAAATCAGTGTAATGTTCACCCATAAAATCCCTGCATGCCCAAATTACTTTACACAGGATCTCCTTTATCTTGTTGTTGTGTGGCCTTGATCAGCATCTGTAGAACTCTGAAAAACACATTTTGCAAATCTCATCCACACTGTGCTCACTCTGGAAATTGCTAAGTATACATTTGGTGTTCTCCAACCATAGGCGTGCCTCAGGAAAAAAAAATAGGAGAACAAAGGGAAAAATAATTTTAGTGAGAGCATTGCAAAGAGCATTTTCACATTTGAGAGTCTTCTCTGCTCCCCAGGACCTCTCAATTGTCCCACCCTGCTCACCAGCCTTCTTCCATACCCTTCCATGAGAATGTGAATGAGAATGCATTTGATATTGTAGATATTATCTCAAGATACCATTTTGCAATACTTCAGGTCTCATATCCAAGTTCTTTGATGTGAGTTATTTAAATTTAAAAACAATGGCTGAAGATGAAAGAGTAAAAAAGCTCTCTTATACTATTACTTTATTTGTAAAAAGTAATAACTTAATGTCATATGTGATGATACAGTGAATCAGCAAACACGAATATCTTCAGGGACACTTTTGCTGTGCTATTTCCCATCTAGTAAAGTGATTTGATGGGTGCAGGAAATATTAACCAAAATTCTGATTCTAAATAAATGGTGTTTATGTCAGTCAGTGTTATTGTTTGCTTTCAGGAATCAAAAAGAAACCAAGTTAGCCATACATGTAAACTGGCCTTTTTGAAATGCAGATTTTATAATGAATTAAGTACTGAAGTCATTGTGAGTTATATGAGCCACTAGGACTCTACAGAATAAGTACATAGTTTTGGACAAATCAAGGAGTCCAAATGAAAGCCCTCTAGAAAAGGAATACAATTGGAATTAGGGTTAAAATGTTCATTCAGTCTAGGTGGATATGCCCCTTGGTGTGTGGACCTCAGGTCTCTCTTTTGCAGAAATAAAAGTTCAGGTGACTCTATGGAGTTTATAGAATTTCTTGTAAGTATTCTTTTTGGACTACATTGGAGCCTTCTACTCAAGTATGGTTCTGCCACCATCTTTCAATGCACCATGAGTTTAGACTTAAGCACTCAGAGCTTGGGTGACCTCAGCAGGAAAACAATGGTTAGGGGGGCCATGTTGTAAACACATCTTGAGAAAAGAAAGATAACTCTGTGTGCTTAAGCATTAGAATACAGGTAAGGGATATAGCTATTGTTGCATTCAGTTATGGTGGAAGTCAAAGCCATGTGAATGAATATATATATACACACACACACAATTTCTATATTTTATATAATTTTTAATATATACACATATATAAACTTACTGAAGCACTGGGTTACCATTCAAACTATTTTCCTCTATCTCGTGAAGGCTTGTAGAAACTCATATAATTAGCTAATTTCAGGCTCTATAATAAAAATCTGTGGAGCACAGTGATATGCCTCCCATGCTGTAAAGTCAGAATGGCCTGAGTGTGAATCCTGACTCATCATAGTCCATGTGACTTTTAGGAAGTTACTTAAGTTCTCTGAGCCTCAGTCTTCTCATCTCCAAAATCAGTATCATTTCAGTTCTGCTCTCATAGAAGTTTTGTGGAAATTAAATGAGAATCACTGTCATACTTTGTGATGTACTTGGAGCAGAACAGGCACTGGGGTAAATATTATGAGGTACCCTGGAAAGCACTCATGCCCCAGGCTCAGCGTCTGTGCAGTGGTGAGGGGAATAAAAAACCTGGTCTGGGCTGGTGTGGGATAGAGATTACAGAAACAAGCAAAAGCATCATAGAAAGTTGCTGGACTATTCCAAGGCTGATAAGAACAATGGTGGATATCATGGTGTGCTCCCAACCAGGGAGACCCAACCTGGCTTTGTTGTAAACACTCCTTCCTTGGCACAAATGTGTCACTTGGGTATGATGACAAACTGCAGAGACAGCACTGTCCCTCCAGCCCAGCTGAAGGCTAGTTTCTATCCCTCATCCAGGTTTCCAGCTGCTGGGTTCACACTGGGCTGCAGTTGGCTTTTTGGACAGCCCAGTGGCTCCTTGAAGCCTCACTGCTAGTTCTTTGTTCTGTGGGAAGAACAGGGCCTGAGCTCAAACTAGTCTAGGACATTATCAGCGACATCTCCTGATGGGCAACGGGGTGATATTGGCTTCTGATCCTAATGCCTCGTCCAACTGCTGTTCATCATTTCAGGCTGCCAAGCTGTGCCGAAGTGGTCTAGGGAACATACAAAAAAGCAAAAAGGCTCATCAGAAGCATGGCAGATGATCAACATTGCTCATTCTAAGCCCTGTCTGCAACACCAAAACGAAACCTATTAGGAACCATGGTTGAGTATAAAAATGTGTCCTTGTGAACCACGTCTTTAAAAGCCTCTGCTCCTGGGGTGAGAGATGCACATTTTTGTCACCTTACCCTCACCCTTGTATCATCTCAAGCAATTGCATTATCACAAACATAATAAATAAAATGAAGAAAAAAAACACATATCTCTGTTAAAATAAAACTTGCATAAATTATATGTAAATTAACAAATTTACAAACTTCAAGAAAAGTGAAGATTTGCCAAGACTTTGACCGTAACTAACTTTTAAATCAGGATCTAAACTAAGCATCAAAATACAGGTTTCAGTTTTATTCCCCTTCCCACCAAAATCAGAAGGAAAATATAACTTAACCATTCTGTTTTCTGCCTACCCTCTCTACTGTCTTAATAAAACAAAGGTCAATATGTACTCATGTCAGAGGCAGCATCTTTGCTTTGGGTGATGATGGGGACATGAGAGGGCCATTAATAATTCCAATCTTGCGGTATTGTCTGAAACATCTTCCTTTGGTGACTCAACACCGTGGTGGGCTTTAAGCAGACACCTAAGTAGGGCAGCCCTGGATTAGTGCAGGCATACCGTACAGAGCTCAGAAGTTTCCAGGGCAGAGTCCCACAGCTGCATTTCTGGGTATATTTAAGCATTATATTCTTCATAGTGTAAGTTAAGTAGGCAAGCCATATACTTTTTCAACATTCACTAGAAATTACCAGCAGTACTAAGTTGTATTGCGGTGGTATGGAAGAGTTGAATGCAGTGCAAAAGAGGGTATTGGTTTGATTGAAGTCATTGGCCTACAATGAGCTAGACATCAGAACCTTCTAAAAGAAAAAACATACAAACCCTACCTCTCTAAAGCCTACCTGTAAGATTCTTTTAAAATCACTTGCTAAATCAACTTCTAAAAAATTATGAAGTGATTAACACATACCAGTTACTGTTTCTACTGATTCAAAAGTATGAATGAACCTATGAAGTTGGTGCTGCTTTAAATCTCATTCTACAGATGAGGAGCCCAAGGAATAGTTTAAATAACTTGCCCAAAATCATAGCAGTAGAGTCAGTATTTAAAAATCTATCTGTGTGTGTGTGTATGTGTGTGTGTGTGTGTCTCTCTCTCTCTTTCTCTCTCTCTCTCTCTCCTCTCTTTAGTGAAAACTGAGCTATGATCTGTCAGCTCACCATATAAGGAAAATTACATGGAAAGGTTTAGGCCTATAAAGACTGTACAAAGCAGTATGCATAGAAATATTTGTGTGCCATTCATATCAACATGATAATGCAAGCTAATGAATTTTGGAGTGCATGGTTTTCAAACTATCATTATTGCAACTAATAGTTCATGTGATTTAAATATGATGCAATGATGATTGCTGGATTATATTCCTTCTTATATTTTATGTTAGAGATTTATGGTTCCCTGGGTATAGTCTTGAAATCTAGGATATCCCTGAAAAAAATAAATAAATTGTATAAAACTATTTCAATTTGCAATCCACCTCCTCGTAAATGCTACTTTCTTTTATCCAAATGTCACATTTGGCAATAAAACTCCATCCGATGAGAGCCCTGTCTGCTTTTCATGTCATTGTTTCCTAAATAAAGCAACACATGAAATTAATCGCTCTCTGTAAAATTCAGACTCAGATCTTAACACCTCTGTCTTTACACAGTATTTTTCTTTTGCAAAGGGAACAGCCCTGGGGTATGAAGGGGGGTGGGAGGAGGGGACAATAAACAAACCAAACTAGCAAACAGAGAAACGCAGTCTCTGAGAAATAAATATCCCTAAAGAGGTTGTCTCCCAGGGAATTGCAAATCTCAATCCCTTTCAGAGGAAGTGAGGTCTCCGTATTTCTGAGAGTTATTTCCCCCTCGACACAACAAGCATTATAATGAATTAACTAGTTAGAAACTGTTAGGTCAGAGAAACGTCTCTGCCTCTTTCTGAGCACAGGGAGCCTTCCAAGTGACTGCAGTAAGAAGCCTGGTCATCCCAGGATAGGGTCCCTCCTGTAAACCGCCCCTTAGGCTTCTCCCAGATAAACCAGCCCTGTGTTGTGGGTCCCTCTGAGCAGCCTCTTTCCTTCTACCAGGTCCTGGGCAGCTCCATCCGTCCAAATGGGAGCTGAGTTTGCAAGCTGCCAGGGGCGGAGGGGCTGGTGCTGCTGATGTCAGAGCGAGGAGACAGTTGTGATTGGATCTAATTAGACTTTGCAGCAGCAAATAGACAAGCTCCCTGCGTGATTGGCTTCAAAGTGGCTGGTGCCAAACAACTAGCAGAGGTGCAAAAGTAGCAGCCCTGCGTTGGGAGCCCAGATGAAGAGGCAGCCCGAGGATAGCTCCGGGGCGCTCAGGACCTGCGGGCGCACCTTTCCCAGCGCTTCCTGCCCAAGGAGAGGTTCCTCGCTCCGACTCCCATCGGAAGCTCTCACCCAGCTGGAACCAAGTGACAGAGAACAAGTAGCGAGAGCGCTCAGTTCTGGGTCCTAAAAAGTGAGCCTGCTGCTCCGATTTGCAGAGGCAGAAGCGCCTCGGCGGCGACAGCCAGAGAGAGAAAGGTGAAATTGCTTAAGGAGGAGCTCCTCTCCCGTTCTCCCGACTGGGTCTCAGCCATGGCATCCGTCCTGGGGAGCGGCAGAGGGTCTGGAGGGCTAAGTAATCAACTCAAATGCAAGTCCAAGAGGCGGCGGCGGAGGAGGTCCAAGAGGAAAGGTAAGGAGGCTCGCTCTGCGCTCGCCGCAACTCTCCCGGCTCCCTTCGTCCTTCCCGCTATCTCTGGGGTTTGTCTATTTTGAGCAGCTTCACTTTAGGATGCTGGTGGGATGCCCGCGCATATCAGGGTGCAGGGAGTTCAGATCCCTTTGTAAATGACTGGGGGCTTCTTCAAGCTCAGAGGGGACAGGGAGCCAGCAGCCGCTCAGCCAAAGATTTTTGACAAGAGGGCTGTGGTCCAGAGGCAACCATCCTTGGACAGGAGGATGTTCCCCTCTTCTAGGTACCACTATGCCCTCTCCGTACCCGAGGCTGGCACCGCTTTAGACCCTCTTGGAGGCCACATTATCTAACGGTGCCAAAGGAAACACTCACTTAAGCCAACATACATAAAACCGAGGGAATGAACCTTCTCGCCAGCTCTTCCCATCCAAATTGTCTCAGAGAAAGGAATGGGCAGCCCCTGACGATCGCCTCCCCCAAATTGGCCGGCTAGTTTCTACTTAGTGTGGTGTCCCGTCATCTTGTAAACACTGGGATGTACAAAAAGCACAGGGCTCCCCTTCTTGGAGAAATATGCGGAAATTAAAACATGCAAAGAAATAAGCATTAGATCTTGTTAGCAGCAGAAACAGCCTGCAAACACCAGAAAAAGAAAAAAAAAATTAGAAAAGGCAACTGGGTGACAGGTTGCTGCTGACAATCTGTCATGCTGTGCCTTGTTACTGATATTCTTGGAGATCGGTTGTACTGAAGTTAGTCAGTGTCATCAGAAGCCGAGGGCTTTCATGCAAAGGCTAATTTTGTATAAAATTAGCAATTGCTCCAATATTAGAGGCAATGTCCTAAAATGCCGTCTTAGACTGAGTCCATTCCACAGAAGGATTCAAAGAGCATTCTAACGTTGCCCCTTGTTTCTCAGGAAGGAACTTGTATTATTGTTAGTTTCTTATTATGAGTTTGCAATTGTAGGAGAAAGTTCAGGTCTTATTATTTAAAATGTGTTGATTTTTTTTTTTTTACAATAGTGAATATAAAGCTATAATGAACAGCTGGAAAGATACAACTCAAATGTATCAGATTTTCCAGTTTTCTATGGCAGAACACATTGTTAAACCTAGTTGTGATCCTACATCCTCCCTGGAGAATTTTCATCTTTGTAATGGCTTAAGATAAGTTTCTGTCAGATTGTTTCCTAACTGATCTCCAACAGTCCCTAAGTTCTTGATTACTTCTTCCAATTGTAGAAATTAGCCAGTCAGTTTGAAGACATAAATGTCAATAGAAAACAGTCATTAATTATGATCACACATCAGGGCAACTGGGAGTAAATACAGCCTGATGAGTTCCTTAAAATGCTTCAGAGGCTGCAGTTTTAGGGGTTATTTTGTAATTATAAGTTTAACTCTTAAGTTACTAAAATGTATGCTTGCTATTCATATTGTTATTTGAAAATATTTTGAAACTGACTTGTTAAGGTCTTTTAAAGATAATGCTAACAAAGAGTGATATTTAGAACGTGACAGGATTGCATAATGAATATAACTTTGAACACAGATAAAAAGAAACATAATCTTTACACTTGTTCATGCTTCCCAGTATTTTTTATTTAGTCCATTTAGATATTTAATATTCAAGAATTTAGAGTAATATTTCCCAGTAATGCAACCTATAAAAATGTAAGCTGAATGGAAATTGTTACCTTTCTTCAAATTTATTTGCCTTACCATTAAATGTCAGACATACTAACTTAGAAAGCATTCATATTCATCGTGGGGGGAAAAAAAGAGAAGAAACCTGAGGGAAGACTTCATTTGCTATAAACCTAACTGCAACAATTCAAAATAGAATTTTTACAGCAAAAAAGCTCTTTGCCTTAGTAATTTTGACAAGACCAAGTCTCTTACTTTTTACAGCCAAATGTTGAAGGGGGAAGGGTCATCAGGCTTAGTATACCAATTCATGTTATGGGGAGACGTGTATGGGGCTGCCTTTCCTCTGGTACCTACTGACAGCTATCATGGCTGGAAAGTCAGATTGCTAAAAGTTAACAATTGCAAATGTACAACGATCAAATAAAAAAAAATAGCATAACAAACTATGGGACACATTAAATAAGTATTTACATCTTTCTGAGAACATACCACAAATTTATATGCGGTTCCTAGTTATTACAGATGCCTGTTTTTCTGTTCTACGAGGAACAATGGTGAGCTTAAACTTGTCTTAATAGTCATGCGTCTTCACTGTCCCTGAACCAAATAGCCTCTTTTTTTAAGCTTATCTAATAATTAAACTCTGTATTGGTTACAATTTAAATTCCCCAAGTTCATGGATGACTGTTAAAAAATTCTAGTAAGGTTGTACTAACTGAAGATGCTGACTGTAAGTACAAAGTATGCTTTTCATAAGTGAATAATACAGTTAGATAAATGTTGACCTTTGGCCTATGAAATGTATATTTTCACCTATTCTAATGGACAAGAGTCATTTTTTAAGATGCATCCTAGCATTTAGTTTCCCGGTGTCATGAGATGCTCTTTATTTTCTCTACCTCTACTCTGAGTGGCTTTGATATGAGATGCCTTCTATTGTCAGATCTATTTGCAGACTCTGAACGAAACACTCTAGCCACAGCTGAAGTGTGGGAATGAAACCACACCTTCATTATTGTTAATTATAATCCCTCATCATTCTGGAAATGAAGCATTTCCCCGTACAAGGTAGTTTTTAGTCACTGCACTACACAGGAACTAGTATGTATCTTCAAAAGTTAAAAAAAAAAATAGGAAAGGAAAAAAAGGTAGTAAGGGGAAGAACTTCATCGCAGAATGTCACTTTTGGGGATTCATTGGCAGAAACCTGCATTTCTTTCTCAGATAAACTTTGAAGAAAATTCTCAGAATAAATCTCCCCACCTGCCAGTCCCACTTTGTTGTTTTATCGGACATAGAGCTGTGCACTTTTGCATTTTCTCCTTGTGACATTTTTTAGTTGGAATTTTTTCTTAGAAATTATTTGCAAAAGATTTGTATTTTTAATTTTCTATAGAAATGAGAAATGCCATTTTTAAAAAAATTTGGAACAAAGTCAAGCAATCAAAAAAAAAGTATAAAACTATGTAATGTTTTGAACAACCAACAATAAAAAATTTAAAAAAAAAGTATAAGAAAGACTGGGAATATCTTATGTTTACATTCATGGCAAAGCAATGTACACATCCTACATAACATATGAAAGACATCAATTTATCTTGCTTCTATTTCATTTGGAGGCTTTTAGAAAATAATAGTAGCACGTGCAATTTGTAGGGACTATTACCTGCCATCTCTAAATGCCAATAGACTTCACTGCTCACGGAGAATATGGGAGAATGCTTTTTATTTTTATTTTTTGTAATTCTTAGTAGAATTTTGCAAGGTGATTTTGCCCAACCAAATCTGTTATGTGGTTATATAAGAAAATATCTATTTGTATTAGAAAACAACTAAGTACGGTTATTATAAAAGTAAACATTTTAAATCAAATAATAAATGCAAAGGCTGAAGGTTTTTTTTTCCTTATTAGTAGTATCAGCTCAATCAGGTAGTTTAACAAAACACATCAAAAACAATGTAGTACATTAAAACAAATAGCTTAAAAATTGATCAATCTCTGAGCCATGGGATAATGTCAGGATAATATGTTTGAGGAATCTCATAAATATCTTTTCATTTACTACTTTACTCAAACTAGTGCACATATTCTGTTTGTCACAGCTGGGGTTTTCTACCTTTTATAAGTGTATCCCCCCCCCAAAGTTATTCACTGGCATGAAGCATTTTGTAAATAACATATTTCTATTATCCTACTTATTACTGCATATAATATGTAAAATGACTGAGGTTTTTTGGAATTTTTTCTTAAAGTCTCTTTCAAGACAAACCTATTTGGAAACAGATTGAGAACATATACAAATTCAGCCATTTCCATAAGATAAATTGAAGGATGGAGTTTAAGTGAGGTGTATCAATCATTCATAAACCAGAAACAGAAAGGAACTTGGGGGGAACTCTTTGCAATGCTTATAAAGCATCACTGGGTAAGTCAGTTCAGTTGAATTTGAGCATTGGCAATGGAATATGCCCTTTTTTCAGGCATTTGACAGTAAAACACGTTAACTCTTCACATTTAGATAGTATTCCAGGGGGACTGGTTACAGAGTTTTAGAAAATTGAAAATAAATGTTGAGAGCACCCACACAAGGTAGCTCTCTAAACGGGAAGTGATGAATCACGGGAAGGTAGTGGGAAAGGAGCAGGTTGCTGAACATTGTGAAATGCAAATAAAAGTTGGCAAAAGAGACAGAATAAGTAGAGCAGATGGATGGCAGACGCCTGCTTGTTGTGAAATGAAATTCCATGAAAAATTAATGAAATAGAAAGATTGTGCCCTGGATGAGGGTGGAGTGGCTGAACGACTCTCTGTCCCCTGCAGTGCCAGCATCACCCACGCCGCCGCTGTCACCCGGCTGGCGAAGGACACATTCCTTCTACACCGCTGGCTCAAGCCCTGACACACTCTGCTTATCTTGTGCGCTGACAGCTCAAGAGGAAGAACTGGATTTAGTGATAAAATCAAATTGATTAAACTGTTAGCCAGCATCTAATTGTGTGGGATTTTTTTTCCTCTTTCTTTTAAAATTTATATGGGTGCCTCTGGTTTCTAGTGACCCGTGTAATAACAGTAATTTGAGATTGCTTCGAGGGCATTAGATATGATGAGTGAACTCGAATTTAGAATAAAAATGTGAGATTCATGCATTCATAGCTAAATAGTGGTGATTGGGGTATGGCAGAGAAGCCAAGCTAGATGAGTGTTATATAAGGAAACATAGAGAAGGAAACTGTAATTTTCGTTTTGGAGGCATAGAAAGGTGATTTATACTGTGTAATTATTTAGTTTTCAATTTAAAAAATATATTTAGATGCTTTCTGTACACATATGTGTTGTGCATGTGT